ACAGCCGTGATTCGTACTTAGACTGCAACATAAGGCGAAGACGATCTTTTAAAACTAATACTAATAACCAACCAATACAATAAAAATATTTAATTAAAAAAATAAATGGAAATGGTAGAATTTTTTATCCATGAATACTGACATCGTTTCCATGACTTAGTTAAGGTCCTATCCCAGGAAGAATTGCTGTGTCAGTGTCTCGGGGTGGACTGCGCAGCGTTGCCAGATTTTTTTATTGTAAAGGCGGGATTTTGGAACTTTTTGAGTTAAAAAACGGGAACTCTCGTCGATAGCGGGACAAGTAACTAAAGGGATATTTTAAATCAGATTTACCCTATCGTTAAATACTTGTATTCTTAAAAAAAAAAAATAAACAAAACTAAACCAAAAAAAGTATTCATTAGACAATTATGGCGTTTCAAATAATTGTCAGAACTCTGAGGAATGAGTATATGATATACCTGGTATCTTTTTTTGGTAGCTGTTACAAGAGCTGGTGCCATTTCTGAGCATGGCAGTGGTGTCTTGAGTTAACCCCAAAAAGCGGGAAAAGTCTGTCCCGCGCGGGGCATTTCATTTTCATTAAAAAATCGGGACGTCCCGCCAAAATCAGGACGTATGGCAACGCTGGGACTGCGGTGCGCAGTGGAGAGCTGGAGCACTGAGGCGCGCCGGCCTCTTATAACTATTAGTTTTGTAAAACATTAAATTAATGTAATTTTATCAATTTTTTCTGAAATGTATTACTTGGCTTGAGATAAAATATATCGTGTAAATTTCAAAATTATGTTCTAGATACAATTCGTCAAGTGTCAAAAATTGGCTATGTTTGGATTTTTTTTCTATCAAGCGAAGTTATTTAAATCGTGTATCGATCTTTCAAAATTGATACATAAACTACTCAACTCCACCATATATTTTGCCCATTCGTCCATGCATCATACTTTAAAGAAACGATGACGAAAAATGGAAAGAAACAATGTACTTTTTTGGAGTTTGGCGACCAGATAGGTCCTTAAATAACAGTGAGTATAACATTGTAATAACATTGTTTTACTCTGAAATTGAGATGAAATATACATTGCCCTCGTTGTGGTTACATAAGATATATCTAATAATTATAATTATTGAGATTTGGGTCAGCTACGACTATTGTCCTATTGTACTTTTACACCGATCTTTGCGGCTTATAGTAAAGAAATATTGCTATGAAAGCTAAGATTTCACTATACATTTTAATTTATTAAGCCTTCAAAAGCTATAATATTATTATTATGAGTCTCACTCACTTATTAATAAATTTTAGAAGTATATCCTCTAATCTTGACGTTACTTTAAATAAATAAACGTAACTTAATTTTTTTTATATTTTCCCGTGTTTTTAATATTGAACAAAAAAAATTATAGTGATAGTAAATAAATACATTAAAGTAGATATTAATTTATTCACCAACGAATGAGTATTTAAAATAAATAATCTTTTCAAATTAATTTAATGTTTTTTGTATTATTTTTTGTTAGGTTAAATATGTCGTAGTCGTTAGACTGAAGTCATTAAATTTGTTCAATTCACTCTTGGCCTTTGCGTAATGATAGTCAATGGGCATTACACAACCGCGACTGAGATAGAGACGTAAAGATCATTATTTCGAGAAAGCCCATCAAGATCATCTATCATCTGTGATCTGACAGTGTCATCAAAAGCACTTCTACTTAAAATGTCATTGAAACCTTATTGAAACACCGTTCTCATCATTCTTTTTAATAAGTTATTATTAAACGGTTTTATTTAGCCACCCCGTTTGTTTTATTCTTGGGTCAAATTTAGTAATTCAAATTTCACCCTCTTCCCAACCGATTAACTGAAATTTTGTATACACTTTGGATTTTGGTGACAATACAAAAACTAAATAAATAAAATAAAAATAAAAAAAAAATAACTATTTAGAATGTACATCTGAAAAACGGAACGATTGTTTTTGTTTGCCGGCGTTCGATTTTCAAAACTGTATTGTAATATTTTTGTTTGACATTTCGTATATATAGTATTCACTACGATAAAAGAAACATTCTGAGTTTACCACGACACAATCTGTGTCTGGCACAGCACTTCCTTCTTATGAAATTTAAGTGGAACAGATGCAGAAATCTATACGTATTAATTAGTAATTGTTCTTGATTTAGTATTAAATGACATAAAATGTTAAAGTACAATAACCCTGGTCGTGATGCACGGGCATCCTGAAACCAGTTTTCCCAGTCCTGTCTGAATCTATTCAATGGGATACAGTGAGGTCAAGTAGATGAGTCAAGCGAAAGTTACATTCGCAACCGCATTGTTATATGTACGGTAATGCGTCACATTATATTTATTTATTTTATAAAAGACAAGACTAAAACAAGAGATATATAAAAAGAAATACATGTTATAACTAGAGAAGTGTCCTTGAATTGTTTCACAGATTAGAAAGAGTAGAAAACTTTACTAAAATAAACAAAGCATGTATGTTCTATGCTCCTTACTTTTATAGACCTTTATTGAGATTAAAGGAATTGCAGTCTTCTATTAAAAATAGTTACGGATTGTTTCATGAATACCAATAAACCACAGATAAGGTTACGTACACAGATTATCCCACATACATATTTGTTAGAGGCACATAAATACTTTTAATTATAAGATAACACTGTTATCATGGTCCATTTGACCAATTAAATTTTATAATATATGTATGTATGAGACTTTATTTAAATTTGCATACTAAAAATATTGTCTCACCAGAATCAGGCTATCACTGTGTACTTTAGACATATTTTAAATTTGTTAGACAAATAACTACGAAACGAAAACGTCTGCATAGTATAATTATTAATTATATAATTGGGTAGTTGGTAGTCCATTTTATATGGGAAAAGGCAAGATTTACAGATAGAGAACCGGCATTACACCCGAAGAACTCCTATCTATAGATACACGATTATAACGTTAAAACATTCAGTTTAACACGTTATAGAATAAGTATAACACGTTATATTTCAGTAAAATTTACTTATCTAGGATAACAATCCTGGAGACTTAGTGACTCCTGTTTGTCAATAGCGGTTTTAAGACTAGCTCCGGTCCTAAACCCATATTGTTGGCAATGGCACAGTTGAGTCTAAGTGATTGTAATTACATTAAACGACTGCGCCAGACGCTATAATTTCCTTGTCCTCATTACGATCGCAAATTATAGCTTTACTAGGGACGACATAACGATTGTTGACTTTATCTCTTCACAAATTACGACGGTTTATTTATGTAATTAATTAAATTTATACGTAGATAAATAAGATGCGTGACAAGTGTAAAGAGTACTGTGATTAAACAATCATACTTCAAATATTTTGCATGTGTGAAATTTTTGTGTACGGGAGTCAAAGCCACGGCACAGGTTTAGTACCTATGTCACCGCTTTTTTACTAAAGCCCATTTCATACTATTACGCAATCGCAATAATTAAATTGTATTTGAGCGTTGCCTACGCTCCTTCAGCATATATAAGTACAGTCAAAATCTATTATAACGACATCGAAGGGACTACTCATATTTGGTCGTAAAAATCGAAAGTCGTAACAGCCGTGACATTGTTATTAAGTAGCTAATGTATACTTATTATTGAATGTGTGATTAATATACTCATGTATAAAATAAAACTAAATTTTATTTATTTCACATGAAAATTAGACAGTAGATAATTTTATGTACAAAAGTACATATAATTATCATTTTTCTAATTTAACAAAATCTGAAAGTTTTTTATAAGGCGGTCTAATATAATTCAGCCGGGACCTTTGATTTTGGTGAATAGGTATAACCGGTATGTTGTTCTAAACGATGTCGTAAACGGTTTTGACTGTACTAGAAATAATCTACTGTATATGAACTTTGCTACATTTTATTTGCATACGACCTATAATGCGATTATTGATTCATACATTTCTAACTGTATGGCTTACAAATGTCGTCAGGAACTTCAAAGAAAATTGTGTATTGAACAAAATAATTGAAAACTAATTTTTCTTCTGTTTTATTGCCTTTATAGTTATTTGGTATATATTTATTTAAAGAAACTGTTTTAATGCGTTAGTTACAGTAGAAGATTTAGACTTTTAAATACCATCATAATATAAATACGCAGATACGACGGTATCATTTGATTTCTTTGTAGAACTAAAGAAGACTAATCAATCATGTGAAAAATCTCAACCCATGGTAGATCGTGCCTACTATTATGCGTTTGGTGGGAAACCGGACTAAATACTAGCAATAATAATATAAAAGCTGGTTCGATTTGAGCATAACCCGGCTTGCGTGTGTGATTTGTAGGAACAGTTAATTGTACCGTTGATAGCGTTGCAATTATCCGCCGATGCGATAAATACTCTGAATGACACGCTTTTTGTGCCCATTCAGTTCTTTGTATGGTTAAATGACAATTGCATTCTTCTGTGAGTTGTGGAGTGGGTCGTCATACTCATTTTCCTTATTTTTGTATAGGATTACACAAATTTACTTTTCCTTATGTAATGTAATTAAGTATTCGATATCAATGCGTGTTATTTCAATTAAATTATTAATTTACTATATAGGGTCGTTTAAGTATTACATAAGCACTAATTAGGGGGAGGGGGGTCAGGGGGTCTTTGATTTTCTTATTTTTGATGACCTGGGGTGAGGGGGGATTTACATGGTGTTTACGTCAGCAGTAATTATTTACAACTTTATTCATATGGTAACCCATAATACCATTTAAGAGCTTTGCTAACTTCTGCTGACAATGGGAGGGGGATAGATTCATTAAATATAGTAATTTTTTTTTTTTAATTAATCCAGTCACTTGAAATATTTTTAAATTAAAATGCATACTTGTAGTTATCAATAGTATATCTTGAATATAAGCACCATTTTGATGACGGCAAGATGTCCCCGGGGTTATGGATTCAAAGTTTCATTTAAAATGGTAAACTCTCAAAGATATCGTGATAATATATATATTTATTATTTATATATTTCCAGAAAGAATCACGCAGTGATGTTCAGTTCCACCTGGCGGCGCTCCGTGGTGACTGCCCGCGGCTGCGACAACTGCTCGACACCGGCAAAGTGCATATTGACTCACGGGATCGAGTAAGTATTTACAGTCATATAATAATTATTTCCTAGATCTGAGAGGGTCGGTTGCTCAAATAACTCATTTCCCTAGTTTCCGGGTTATAAATATTTTTTCTGTTGTAATATTTTATTGTCAAATTGTTATAATTGTATTCAATCGGAGAAAAACATAAAGTACGTGGCATCCATGTAATAATTTAGAAAATGGTATGTAGGTATAAAAAATTTAAGAAAAAGTGCAATCAAATGTGGCGGTAGACGCTTTGACTGTCGATTAATACAAGCAGACAAGTAGAAGCTTACTGTGCCTCCAAACTAAAATTTTTAGATTTGTTTATTTATCATAATAATCTCTATTAACAAAAGCTGACTGCGTATCTGTTATGAAAAACGTAAATTTGCTTTTTATTGTGGAGAGTATTTTTATAGCTAATAAAGTTTATGAGAGAATTTCTGTTTAGCATATCTTGGCCTAAATCCTATATTTATATATAAGGATTTGAGAGTTTGAGATAAGATGGCCTAAGTGCCGTTAAAATCTTTGGAAAGTCACAAATCCGGTATGCTAATCAATGCCATTGATTTCATTATTTTGCGAAGTAATTTCAAATTCGCCAGACATCGCGGTGATGTAATGATTGACTAATGACGAACGTGGCCAAGATGTCGAGAACAAATCTAAAACTTTTTTAATTCAACTTATCTATACTATTTTTATAAAGGGTTTTAAATCTTAACCAAAACGTTCTTTTAAAGACCGGATCAAGCTGAGGCTAGTAAGTTAACATATAAAAAGGGAAACCGCCATACCGAAGGAACAGGGAGCAAACGGGCAGGAGACTCACATCCTAGATACCGCCGTCAGAAGGCTCGCAAGAGCGTCACTGGTCTTTAAAGACTAGATAGCTCTTACCCTTAGTTAACAGTAGATATTAGGTATAATTCTTCTATCTGTAATTTTCCATATATTATATGCTTTTTCAATACGATAAATTATGGCTTAATTTTAAAATATGTTTGCCTGAATTCTCTACGTTCATTCTGTTACAACTCCATTTAAAAAGCCGGAAGCTGTAAACAAGCTTCACAAACTATGCACTATTTTTCAACTCCATCATCAAGCACTCATTCATAAGGCACTCGTTACTTTTATAGCGATGTAAAAATACCGCATACATTTAACACTCTTCTTGAAAATTGTAGGTTAACGATCTGGAGCAACCGCTATATATACGTGTGCTGTTTCTATATTGTAATATTTCTCATACGTAAAATAATATGTGTTATAAAGTAACAAAAGAAATTGCAAGAAAAATTTCATCCGCGTTCCTTATTTGGTACGTAACAAAAGCTCGACTATACTTAAGTAAGGAAACAATTTTTTCATAGACCACAGTATATAATTCATAGGTAACCCACACGCAGGCAGACTACATCTTCAATACGGCAATAATAAAAAAGGCTGCTTAAGATCTTCCCGCTCACTATCCACCATTTTAAAAAACGGCTTAAGGACTTTCTTCTCAATGTACACCTTACGCAAAGCTAGAGGAGCTATTGAGCCCTAAGATATAGTTAATTCATACACATTACACTTAGTCCATTGAAAAGTTACATTTGGGGTTGCGTTTTTTAGAGGACGCAATTTTATTTATGGAACATGAGGGGGGTCCAAGCTTAACCCAAGTTGTGGGGTTGGCGTGCTTGTCCCCCGGCCGCCATCTAAAGGGGAAAAACCATGTTTTTGGCTATATCCCTGAACTATCCATCGTACAAAAACTTGCAAAGACACATTTTGTAGCAAATCGTTGTCTACGATTATGTCCATGTAACTTTTTATCATAAATCCAAAATTCAAAAAGTTATAAATAAAAAGTGAAGCTAGCTACCATTCTAATAACTGATTGATAATATAATTATGTCGAAGATTACCATATCAGCAAGTTGTCTGTGGAATAGGCCACTAGGAATACCAATAAGTAAAATTGTAGGAAAAAAAAAAATATATTTGGAAAATTTGTTTAAAATAACGAGAGATCTTAAAAGAGGTAAAACTGCTGTTTTGATCGGCTTGTCATGAGCATTGGCGCACCTAGCAACTTTAGAAATAGAAAATATTTTCACTTTTTTTACTTATAACTTTTTAAATTTTGGATTTATGATAAAAGTACTTAAACATAATTGTAGGCACAGCGATTTGCTACAAAATGTGTCTTTACAAGTTAAATGTAGGATGGAAGTTTAGGGGTTATAGCAAAAACGTGGTTTTTGGACCCTATTTCCAAGATGGCGGCCGTGGGACAAGGGTGGCGACCCCACAAACTTGGTTTTAGCTTAACACCGCCCCCCACACACAAAAATAAAATTGCGTCCCTAAAAAGAAGGTTAGGCCTAAAAAAGACATTTCAATGGACTAACTCACTCATTCCCATCCACCCACACACTCGTGCACTCACGCTGTTTAAAAATAAGGAGAAGAATTCGTTTTAAACAATTAAATAAAATCAAAATTGTAATTAAAAGCAAATATATATGTACTAACTTGGTTATGCAAGAGCTGGGAACGCTGACACAGGTATTTTTTTGAAAGGGTTCACAATCTTACTAGTTATACTGTATAAACACATTTTTTATTAATAACCCCTTTTCTTAACCTTGGACCTTGAAGCAAAGCGCATACAATATTTATGAAGGCTGAAAAGTGCTTTAAAAGTGAGCGCAATGCAATTTGTTTTGTTGAAGAAAACGGCTATTTTTACATATTTTAAATATTTAACAGCCGAACTAGATTATATACCTACGTATATGTATTTACCGTCACACCATGTTGGATTGTCATAATGGACCGAAATTATTATAACACTAATTATCATTAACATTAAAGGGGTCGTTCAAGAATTACGTAAGCACTGTAGGGTGGGTCTATAGGGGGTCTTTGATTTTCTTATTTATTGATGACGTCAACGGTAATTATTTACTTTTAGACATATTACCCAGCATTGTCTATGCTTGAAAACGAAATGCATTTTCGAGGATTTCTACAAAAAATTAATACGTTTATATGTACTATTATTTTTAGGAGCTTTGCTTACTTGGTGTTTGGATAAATTGCAGTAAATCAACTTACGTAATACTTGATCGGCCTCCTATATTATTAAATTTACAAATTTAAAAAAAAACCCTAACGTCTTCTTAGAAAACTTTTCTTTGAAGATTTTCTTTGAACTAATATTTACTCAATTATTTCTAATAATTTATTTTACCTTTAAATTACATACTTAAGTGTTACAACATTGGGCACTAACTAATATACTGTGTGCTACCAGCGATAATTGTTTTAGATTCGAAAGCATAAATGTCTTAGATTGTGGCTCTCTCCATGCCCCATTTCACAGAACAACAACCAAATCCCAAATTCTGACAGTGTCCCAAAAGTTTTGTACACAACATTTTGGTGTTGAGTTCAGTGCACTGTGGCACGACCTTGAGATATCGCGCGTGACTAATTATGTTTACAGTCTTAAATGCCTTGCATATTTCTCCGAAAAAACGACAAATCTTGGCGCTCATATATCGTACATATCTAAGTATAAAACTATAGTCATGTATATGGTTGTAATATCACTATTTGCGATAACGCAATAAAATGCAGTATAATCTCCTTACGCTCAAGGTCTTGTTACAAATAAAACACATAATTTTTTTAAGCCTCAAGTATATAAGATTTTTCCATTTACTAAGAGTATTAACCCTGACGTCTGCGTGTCACCTTTTTACCGCGCGAAGTATTTACGAACCAATTTGACTATCCCTCAAGAAAATAGCGTATGAATTCTTTTAAGGCCGGCAACGCACTCGCGAGCCCTCTGGCATTGAGAGTGTCCATGGGCGGCGCTATCACTTAACATTGGGTGAGCCTCCTGCCCGTTTGCCCCCTGTACTATGAAAAATAACATTAGTTTGAAAAATCATATTATACTTATCACTACTTACTACTACTACTTACTTATTAAAAAATTGTGATTAAAGATAAAGATGTGCTTTAAGAATAAGGACAAAGTATCCTATTTTAGAGCTTAAGATATAATTGTTGCCTGATAACATTATAATAAGTGAAAACTTCGTAAAATGCTGTTTTTGGCAGTCATCCCATCTGTAGAAGAGTTCCGTTTGCATTGTCATAATATATTTTAGTAGTACTTAGTTCATTGTTCAGAAATTTATGTAAAACTCAAGACAAAAACCTTTCCTTTTGTTTTTTCAAGTAAACGATTGTGCGATTTCAAACCAGTTTCCTAGAATCCAGAAAAAGTGGTCATGCTACATCGCCTCCAGAGATGTCCATTTCCATACAACACGTGAGGCCGCGGGCGGCGGAGCGACGCGAATGCATTTCACATTGATTAAAATGCTATTAAAATGTACTTTGTCGTTGCATGTTGCGTTTTCAAATTTTTCACTTGAATCCAATGAAATTTGACACACATTGTATGCTCTATTTCTTTGGTATGTGAAGCTATAAACTTAGTTTTCTTAGCATTAAATAGGTGATAATCCGAATTTCAAACTTGAAGTGTTGTAACGGAAAAGCCCGAGCATATGTGTGAGGAATTGACTGAGATGGTTTCTCTTTGATAGTCAAAAGTCAAAATCGTTTATTCATATAGGTAACACAATGTACACTTATGAACGTAAACAAATAAATACATATTAAATGATTCTAATTTTACATTTACTGCCAATTCTTAAATCAAGGGCGTAGAACGGAAGAGAAGAACTGGCAATAAACTCTCCTCCACTCTTTTTAATCGCCAATTATTTTTACATAGTTAATCAATAATAATAAAATAAATTCAAAACAAAGATTTGTCCTCTATCAGCAGGAGGCATGGTGAAATAGGAGCACGCACTTACATTCTCGTGGGAACAACACGCAAATCCATAGTCGAAATAACTAACATCACCGCATACACGAATTCAAGTTCGACCATTCACCAGTTGATCACTGATGATTTTTCCGCGTGTTTTGAATATATTTGCATCTATGATCATTTCTTTTTCCAGTGTTCCTACTTATTCTCTTAAAATCATGAACTATTTTCTTATTAATTGATGCCTCTATATTTTGACCAAAATTGATAACGTAACGCTGAAATTAAAAAAAAAACAAAGTATACTGAGCCATTAAAAACTTTATGACCTCTCTTGTTTATCATAAATTTTATAATTTCAGGATGGTACAACTCCACTGATCCTATCGGCGGCTATGGGTCATACGGAGTGCGTTCGCGAACTGCTGGCGCAGGGCGCCGACCCCGCCTGTTGCAGGACGGTACGTGACTTCGCCGTTGTATATATTAACTAAGGGAAACCATAACTGAATTGGGCCCATGAGACATTGAAGCGGTTATAATTAGCATAATCACGATTTGTGTAATTTTTATTGAATTCATTTATGGTTCATGAAAACCGTATCTAAAAAAGTAATCAAAAATATAGTGTTATTTTTAAATGGAAATTACTTGCACGTATTTTTGTGTGTTAAATAAATTTGATTAGACCACAATTCTCATTGATAAAAAACATAAATTTAATTTTGCGTCTTGCTCGAATATAGATTGCAAGGATGCGAATCATTTTTATTAATTTTTTTTGTCATAAAAACTTTCGGATAGCGCGAAGAATCGAAGGAGAATCAAAACAGCCAAATTTTTGGTACATTAGGCTGTTTTATTTTTGCTATTGTGCTAAACTAGGTATCAAGATTTTATTAGATACTGAGTAAATTTTACATTATGGAATATTATATGCTTGCTTAAATATTGTAATTCTTGGTTATATTACAGTAAAAGTATGGAGAATAAATACTAAAACAAATTTTGAACAAAGCTCGGTACATATAATTAAGCTTTTTTAAATATAATACCCGAAAGACCCATTTTAGATGCCATTCATTCGGGATGAATAGCACTCGTAGGGCATCCCCGTACTGAATGAGCCTATTCAACATCATTCACACACAGTGCGCTAAATTCTACAACAATGACTCTTTGTTTTATTCGCGCACAGCACGGTACCCCTTGAACTTTCAGCCTTAAAGTGTGGGTATTAACTATTCATGTCAGTAGACTTTTATAAAATTTATATCGATAAATACGAAACCCCTATCTGATAAAAAAACAAAGTGATCATGGACTTGGTTCCCTATGGACGTTACAACTACAAATGACGCTGTCCGTAAATCTAATACATAATATATAAAATTCTCGTGTGACAATGTTCGTTCCCATACTCCTTCGAAACGGCTCGACCGATTCCTATGAAATGAATTTTTTAATGCATATTCAAACCCCTAAGTGATAAGGGGTGTCCACGCCAAAACAAAAAAAAAATATTATGTGGCATTAAAATATACATACAACTCTTAATTTTCACCCCTCTTCGATCAAGCCCTTTTTTTATTATACATAGTAGATATTTTTATTGAACTAAAAAAATGTTTCCTAGAAATAATATACATGGCAAAACAACGTATACGTACATAACGTAGCCGGGTCAACTAGTATTATAATTATATAAACATTCGATGAAGAATTTCATTTTTCGAAAATTGATTCGGTATCTAAGACTTACATTGCTTAAAACATTGTTCAATGAAACATGTGCTTAATGCGTTATTGGAGTTACTTCATACCAACCACTCGAATTTAATCAGTATATTTTACATTTGTTTTAATAGGACATGTTAAACGGGTAACAATTTCAATAATTGACTGAAAATTAGATGAATGAAAATCGTATATGACGACGATAATTCACAACGAAACCAATTTCGTTAGTTTAGTAGCGTTGTATTGTGAAAATTTTGTAAAGTTAATTATTAGAATGTACGTTATTGTAGTAACGAGGTGATTTAAAACTATACCATACACTATAGCAACGAGGAGAGTTTGAAAACAAATTATGTGAAAATAAATTAATATGAAGATACGTGTTGTGGTCAGACAGGAACGTCGGCGTTGTTCTTCGCGGCGCAGGGTGGCTTCATTGACATCGCGCAGTTGTTGTTGGAGGCTGGAGCCTCTATTGACGCACCCTCATTGGTAAGTGTTTAAATTGTGAATCTACTAACAATATCGTTCCATGAATTGTATGTAACATTTTCTAAATTCTTTTTTGGAAGTATATAAGACTCATTTAACCTCACTTGTTTATCGATCTCTTTTGGTCGCACGTTATTACTAGTTACTGCCGCTAGATGGTGCTCTGAATTATTTCTATATTACGAAAGCCACCGTTAGATGGCGTCACAAATAATCAGAGAATTAAATTTAGGAAATTACTCAACATTGACATTTTATGGTGTTCATAACATAATACAAATATATTCCACGCCAGTATTAGAAATGCGAAAAAGTCGACTTTCATGGTTAATGAAAAGCATGGTATTATTTGTATAGTATTATTATTGGGACTTCCAGGATGGTGGTACACCCCTGTTTGTGGCGTGTCAATGCGGTCACCTTCCAGTCGTCGAAGAATTATTGCGGCGAGAAGCACGAGTAGATGCCTGTATGAAGGTACGCAAACATTTAACTTTTAATAAGAATAAAACAATTATTTTTTGAAAAAGCAATGCCATCTAAATATAATTTAAACCAAGTCTCGCAACGCAATTCCTCTACCGTAAAAACTTGTGAGATCCATGTAATTCCAAGTCGGTTAATTCATTCAAATATTTAAGGGACTTTCTGTTTTAAGTTATTACATAATAAGGTTACCTAGCAACATCTTATACTGACCATATCTATATAACAAACCTTTTATGTTTTAAATATAAAGATTGACTTGGCAATCGCACTAAACAATTTAATTTATGTATTTCTTGTGAGAACCATTGTGTTTTTATGCGATTGCCAAGTTAATATATTTATTTAAAACATAAAAATAGCTAAATATTAGTTTTTCCTTGTTTTATACACTAAACACTAATGGTATTTTAAATTTGAAGCTTATATGTCTACTAGAAGTGACTTAGAGTTTGGATGATGGGTCTGTCAGTAAGAGAGTGACAAAACTATGAAATTTGAGTAATTCTTAAACTACTGGTTCACATTGAATGAAGGAATACACCTTGTCCCCAGACTTTTCGTATCTGAATATTTTGCATTTATGAATCACAGATCACAGTTCTAAATTTAAAACTCAATTTTGAATAATCAAATCATAAGAAATTGCAATGAAGTATAATTAAATCAGGATGGAGCGACGCCACTCTTCATAGCAGCCCAGAATGGTCACGAAGAAGTTTGTGAGATGCTATTAGCACATGGTGCTAGAGTTGATCTCGCACGTATAGACCGCGCCACGCCGCTATGGATCGCTGCGCAGTGCGGACATGCGCACGTGGCGCGTACGTTGCTCGCTCACGGCGCACGCGTTGACGTATGCCGACAGGTAAAATAAATTTATCCAAGTATAAATATTGCCCCAGATCATAATAATAAACCTTTTAATAAAACCTTTAACATTATTGCTATTATATAGACGCTGTCCCCACTGTGAGTTATGCACATAGAGCACAGCCGGGATTTGAATGAACTCTCAAGGGTGGAGAATCGCACTCCACTAAACCGATATTGCAGATATTGCTGCACGTGGTTAGGCTAGGTTGACTGAAGGAAAATGAAACTTCTTAGTCTTAAACACTTATATTGAAATTAACAAATCGTAATAGTGCGGAAGCTGTGCCCGCGTTTGGTAGATAATTTTGCACTGTCCGCTGCTCGCGTTGCGACTGGCTGCAGGCTCCACCCACCGCGCCCGTGTCACACATAGCGGTAAAATCATAAAAAAGAAAAGGGGAGTGGTATTATTGTTCGCCACAAATATTTCTTGATTATTGGTATATTTCCAGGACGGGGCGACTCCCTTGTTTAAAGCAGCGCACAAAGGACACGTAGAAGTAGTTCAAGAGCTGCTCAAATACAATCCTAACCTTGGATTACTGCCGGTATGTAGTTTTAATACAATTATTTTAATGAGTCAAGATGACGGCCCATGAAAAGTACTAAGTTGGTTAACAAATTTACGAATATCATTTTGATAATAAAAATAGTCGCAAGATGGCGTTTATATCACGAATAGATTTAATTTTTTCATACAAAGCAAGCACAACTTATTTTTAATAATAATTTCGCGCTTGATATTTTCTTACCAATATTTGATTCAATCCATAGGGGACAACCCATACGTGAACTTTTGTGATAATTTCCGCGACTGTTTGCATACAAAATACAATTTTACTGGATTAAAATATATAATGATATAAAGAGTGGCGGAGAGTTTATTACCAGTTACTCTCCTGCTATTGCCAGTGCTCGTCCGTTCTTCGCCATTTATGTAAAATTAGAAGCATTTAATATCTTATTTTTTTTTATTTGACGCTCAGAAGTGTACATGAGTTACCGAAATTAATAAATGATTTTAAATTTGAATGTATTATGGTGAAATTGCATCACAATCAAGAAATGCATTTTCATAAATTTTTAGGCAATATACTTCCACCACAATAATATATTTAATTTAGTCGAAATGTTTTCGTTTTATTTAAAAGTGTGTGTCCAACTCCAGAATATTTTTTTAACAGAATGGTGAGAGCGCGTTACACGGCGCGGCAATGTTCGGTCAGCTGTCATGTGTACGCGTATTGTCAAGGCGATGTGACTTCGCACTAAGGGACGCACGAGGTCTTACCGCACTGCAGGTCGCGGCTCACGCCGGGAAGAAAGACGTTGTTGCATATCTATCACGGCTAAATTCATAACCGTGACGCAGCTAATCTAAATCTCTTGGGTTCCAATCCGAGAAAAATTTAACCACTATGGAGCTTAATTTTTATATTCTAGATCCCATCAAGGAATGGTTTACTACATGCCGTATGGTCTCTACAGCGGGTGGTTCTGGATTTGATTCCTGAAAAAAAATCAACGTCACTGGTTTATTTTGGGGGCTGATTGATTTTTATGCAGTCGGTTCCATAGTGTAATGTTAATATATGCTATATCGCCTGTAAATCCTGCAGATTTAGGTTCGATTCCTGAAGAAAATCCCCCATATCCTATGTAAGAGCTTCGTTTTTATATAATCAATCCCAGTGTAGAAAACACTATTACAGGCATAAGAATATGTCATCTGATATAATAATTGTAATGATACAATTTTATTTTTAATATCATTAATCTGATGAGTTACTTGATGTAAATATTTATGTTACTTGATGTATTGCTAGATAAAAACACTACAGCAAAATTTACATAGATCTACGCCTAGTAGTTAATAGTTATAAGTAATCGCATCCGGAAAAGTGTTCAATATTCTTATCGAAAATTATTATGATTTAAAAAAATCAACTAGTTAACGTGTTTTGCATTCGCTTGGAAAATCTTCAACAATAAATAAAAAAACTATGTCAATATTTTATTAAGTAATTCAACATTCTAAACTATTGACAAAAAGTATTATCTATGTATGTTTATTTGATATCAAAAATAATATTTTTGTAATGTTTGTAATAACGGTTATACTTTCCCAATTTCATTAAAAAGGCACACCTATAAAGCTATTTGGGTACAAGCATACTTTTGAAAATAGAATTCATTCTCGATTGTGATTGGTCAACATTGTCTCCATCAAGAAATATGTCCTTTTTCAAAAGTATACAACAAGTACATGAAAATACAATTTATAAAGTTATTAAAATATTTAACCAATTAGAGTATTTGTAATGGACACCGTAATTACATAGACAGGGATAATGTTCCTATGATATACTGTCCATTTTATGTCAATAAAAATCTATTGTTAACATAAAAAGTGGTGTCAAATGTGTCGAATAGCATATATTTATATGTAAATGCTTAGTCACGTGACCAGTGCCGATTAGTGGATCAAGCTGATTTTGATGTACAAGCGTTAAAAAATTTACATGTGTCGCATTTTTAACTGACTGGAAAACCAGAAACAGAAGAGATTAACGATTTGAAGTAAATATTTTTATTAATTATCTATACCGATTCCGAATAAGTTTTTAGCTTTTTTGGCACATATAACATGAACTAGAATAATTTAACTACAGAATGCTGTATACTACCAGTTGAGTACATCAGAATTAGCATCCTTGTCATTATATAAGAAACAGCAAGCATTCATTTTAAATTGATGTATTCCTATACATAAACATTTTATAAGCCTCAAGATATAAGATATTGTATAACTTTTTAAAAAAGCAAGGTGAAAAAACATTTAACTAATCGAGGTTTATAGTATGTTTAAAACCATATCACGACAGATCCATTTGCCTTAAGTATACCTCACAGTAGATGCTAAAATATATTTTGTCATACATTTCACAATATAACATTTATTGTAAATACTAGTCAGCCGTTCTGTTGTAAAGGAATCTCGATGTATAATCTCACGCTCAAAACATTTTATCTCATTTAAAATAATCTCTGTATCATAAACTATACCTAATTATAAGGTTGTTAAATTTTTATTTATGTTACTTAAATATAAGTGTTTTAAAAATAATGTTTTAATACTTTCATACATACAACTCCACTTATTCAATCTGATTGCATAGATAAAGGAAGAGCTGTTATCTTTTTTTATCAGTAAATACAGTGTTTTAGTAATAACCATTCTTAACTATAATAATTAATAGGGTCTCTCTTGTCTCTAAAACCAGTTTTACTATAATTTTTTTTATAGAATTGGCAGGAGTCACACCTGATGTTAAGTAATACTGCTGCCCATGAACACTGCCAGAAGGCCACAAGCCCGTTGCCGGCTTTTTAAGACTTTTTTTTAAAGGACCATAGTGGTTGTAATCGGCATAAAGTGCTTTAAAAAACTAAGCCTGGAAGTTATATAATAGAACCAACATGATGTTCATAGATATTAAACAACTGAAACATGGTAAGTCATGGCTACTCAGCTACTAGTAGCAATGGATTGTGCAGCAGCAGCCAATTCAGCAGCTGAAGGCCTATCTTCGACCTTTATTTCAGTGGCTGCTTGAAATAGTGCTACTGGTCCGCTGTACTCTTGTATTGATATTGTTGCAGGTAAAGCTGGTCGGGTTCCTGGAAATATGAAACATAAATTAGTCTTCTACTTATTTCGACTATGTGTTTGCGTGTTGTTCCCACGAGAATGTAAGTCCGTGCTCCTATTTCACCATGCCTCCTGCTGATAGAGGACAAGTCATTGTTTTTTAAATTTATGTTATTATTATTAATTACTTAAGATGTCATGTGGAACATGGTGTAATGGTTGCAGCTCCTTACAAACGTTGTGTAAAAAAAAAAACATGGCGATTAAAAAGAGTGGCGGAGAGTTTATTGCCAGTTCTTCTCTTCCGTTCTACGCCCTTGATTTGAGAACTGGCACTAAATGTAAAATTAGAAGCATTAATGTTTGTCATTGTCTTTACTGACAAGTCTTAAGTGTACAATGTGTTACCTATATGATTAAATGATTTTTGAATTTGAAGCTTGTTAACTTTCAACTACCAAAAATATTTTATTTTGCAAGTGGTTTTTTTTATAATATTTTATACATAATGCATATTATATATTACAAAACTGTTTTTAAGACCTAAAATCAAACCAGACCCACCAACGACAATTAATAATGTTGACCGTGATGGAAATAAATTGAAAGTTCCAACCATGTTGTACCTACCATACATCTCATAAGCATTATCCATGTAACTGTCATTTATGCTGCCCATACTTTCGTCAAAGTCCTCTTCTATGTTGGTGTGGGGTGGCAACAAGGACATCATCTCCCATAATGTTAGACCAAAAGACCATACATCAGTCTTGTTGCTGATAATACCTCCATGCAGTACTTCAGGAGCACTCCACGCTTCTGTACCTGGAAATTTTAAATAATATTAGTAGGGTGGGTAAAAAAGGGCAAGTTGGTGTGGCTTTGCTTATAATAATCCATAGGCCTGAAAAATCTAAATTATTGGCCTTAAATGGCATCCATCGTTTTATTGTTTATATAAGTAGTGTTTTGGATTTCAGACATGGCAGGTAATACTCACAATCAAGGCATTGAGAAAAGTCAGACTGTACACAACCTTAATTCAATTATTTAACTCAAGGTTAATTGGTAGAGAGAGATGAATGTATTAGTCAGTATGCCATAGCTCTTTTGGCTACATGGCTGTTTTAATTTAAACAAGTTCATATTACAAACCATAATAAATAGCTTTCCCAGCTTTATCATTGTCAAAAATACCATTTTCATCAAGTGGTAATGTCACTCCGAAATCACACAACTTGCATATAACAAAGTCTCCATTCACCAATATATTGTATGACTTCATGTCTCCATGTAAAATTTTCATTTTAGTGTGAAGATAGTCCAGAGCATGTCCAATATCAACTGCAACCTTACAAAATTGTTACACATCAGTATAATCTACACTACTATTTTAACAAACCAATGGCAGGTAACTGGTTTCACTGATTATTTCTAATTGTAAAGTCTGCAACATAAATTGTAAAAAACAATCTGTTTCACTGGGAATCAAACCAAGAATTAACTAAAGCTAAACTAAAGGTTTGCATTACCTTTAAAATGCATTTTGGTGCAAAAGCGTCAGCACCTTCTTCAGCCCTCTTCTCAATCATATCGCCAAGCGATAAATCACAGGCTTCCATGCCCAGGTAAAGAATCTTTCCATTACTAAATGCTCGGAACCCCACAACATTTGGATGGGACATTTTCTGTAATAGCTCAGCTTCAGCTTGGAGTCTTTCTGTGTACACTTTATTTGGTTTTACCCGTTTATTCAGCATTTTGAGAGCCCATGGTGATCGTATCTGTCCTCCTTGAGGTGACCGAACTAACTGCATTACAGAAACACCTGAAATACAGTAAGATTTTTCTGTCTTCAATAACAACACGTATTGCACAAGCAATATCAAGTAAATAATCTAAAGTTAAACGTTAAAATAATAATATACTAGATTTGTAATATTAATCTTTACAAAATGTAATACTAAGGATAATTTACCAGTTCCGTAGCCCAGGCGATTTAAGAAGGGCGAAGGTGGAATTGCAATTTCACGTTTATCGCTTCCAACCAGCGTCACTGATTTCTTAACTGGAGTCTTGAAATCCGCCATTATAATTAAGTTTAAATGAAATTTATGCACCCAATCTAAAAAGTAAAAATGATTGTTTTTGTTGGCAGAAATTCCGTTACAAGTTACAACATTTAAAATATTGCTATTGTCATTCTGTGAATCAACTAAGAAGATAATTGTCAACTCTTAACCATCAGCTGGCTTCAGGCTTATGCCAAAACTAAAGGCATCATAAATTAGAATATTATGTATTTAAAAGAAGAGGGACTATACCAAAATCAAATAAAAAATATATTTGAAATAAATATTTTTTTTATGAATAATGTATCGCTTACTTTTTCATTTCTGTAACAACCTACAAAAATAAAACGCGCCAAATTGGAAGCGTTTGATGCTCTATAATTATTATGGTGCTTTTAACTTTTTTCCTAATATTCTATAGAACTTTTTTAATATAACTATTCTGACCATAAATACTGTTACATAAAAACTTTTCTTTTTCAACGTTTTAATTGTTTTGAATTTGGAACACATAATATTATTTTAAAAACGATTTTGATTTTGCGCCATTTCACATATTTTTTTGTGTTCATTATCAAATTTCAATACGGAATGGGGTGTTAAAAGAAAATAGGATCGCAGTAATCGCACTGCACAAAGTGGGTATGGAGTCGTTAGTCATATTCAAGACACTTCAAAAGCGTGTGTTCGTATGTCGTACTATCAACAGATACAACAACACTTCGTCTGTCGAATACCTAACAGAAAAGATAGGGGCGGCCGCGTGCTGTTTAGAATTACAAAGGCTGTCAATGCTGTTAAAGGCAGAATTAGTGGAAACCCCATTAGGAAGTAAAAAATCTTATCGCGAGAAATGAAGATTCCCGCTAGGACTCAGTTGTGTATTATAAAACAAGGTCTGGCTCGGTGCTAATCGTCGATATACCTACAGGACATGCCCTCAATCAATTTTTACAATTAAAGAGAATGGATCGATCATAACGCCTTCTGTCGCGATACGCAGGTGTAAAGCACAGAAAGATCCTCTTTACCGATGAAAAAATTTTCACGATTGAAGAACACTTCAATAAGCAAAATGCAAAAAGCAAAGTGTACGCTCACAGTTTTAATCACAGAAGCTGCTCAAGTGGTCGGAAAGGTACAACGTGGTCATCATCCTGCGTCAGTGATGATTTAGTGGGGCGTGTCTTATCAAGGAGTCACAAAACTACATTTTTGTGAAAAAGGAGTGAAAACTCCAGCCAAAGTGTATCAAGATACAGTCTTGGATCATGTTGTGAAGCCTCTCAGCAATACACTTTTTAAAAATATACCGTGGACTTTCCAGCAGAATTCTGCACCTGGTCACAAAGCACGAACTACACAAGCCTGGCTTGAAACCAACGTTCCGGACTTTGAGCTGAAGACTGGCTCTCATTTAGCCTCAACCCTTTAGACTTCAAATTGGGGTCAGTTTTTGAGGAGATGGCCTGCTCTAAACGACACGGCGACATTGAGTCGAAAATCCAGTCGACAGTTCGAAAATCCATAGATTCGCCAAAGGTTTCGAATAGAATATTTTTTTTATTTTTGATGAGACTAATAAATATGTAGGTATAAATTTTAATAATAATACATTACTTCATTAAAAAAATCATTTTCATTTGTAACAGAAGTAAGTACAATAACTTACGATTTTATATTACAGCAAATAGGATATATTATTATGTAACAATAATGGAAAAAGAACAAATACCAAAAATTCTATTACATAAAGCAATGCTACACATTAAGTAAAGCAATATTACATACATATTGTAAAACAGTACCTACAACTTTGTTAACTTTTATTTCCTAGTTCCTAACTGTTTTATTTTAATGATATGCTTTCGAAAAAAGGCTCAGCAAATTATTATTTATGTATAAGAAGGAAACGTTACAAATAAGAATATTGATTATTACATTGATATTAATTTGTATCATCCTGTAGTAGTCGGTGTATACTTGTAATAAATGAAATCCGGTCATGTTTCGGAGGGAAAACAACACTTGTCCGAAGGCTAATATCCGAATTTGTTGATAGTGAAGAGTTAAGTTGGAAGGAAGTAATTCACTGAAAATAATCTTTATTCGTGATTGCCGCAGTAATCATAGGGCTATCGCGGCGCACGCGCGTCTTATAATGTGCGCATATTGACGAAGTGCTTTACAAAGATGTCACAAACTTTCAGGTGAGCTAGAGTTACCTAGTTAGTTAGTTAGTTAGTGCGTTAGAGTAGTTGGTTATTTTCGATATATTAATAACCTGTTTTTATGTAAAAGAATATAAAAATATTGTTTGTATTACGTTCCAACGGATATAATTTAAGTTTAAACGCCAATTTTGTATACTTAAACGTAATTAAGAATTAGAAAATTAAATGCTTGGAATTATCACATAATACAATTATGTCGATTTTTATCTAATTAACCGTATATTTTCGATAATCGTTATTATTCCTAATAAGTTTATTTATTACCAAATATTTTTTGGATTTTTAGTTTCAATCCCAATACATTCCAAAGTAATAACAGTGTTTACTACGTTAATAGGTATAAAGGTGATTGCCAAATGTATAATAGTAGTGATAATTGTTGTATGTGAGAGACGATACTCACTATTGATGGAATTGAACAATATGTAACGCTTATAAATGCTATTAATTATAAACCTAATTAAAAATTCACGTGCACTCGTTTGTCTTGGATGCCTGACTTCGATTGCCCTGGAATATTAATTAAATTTGGGTGCAGAGATAGTCATTGAATTGCATGCTCTACTTTTTGAGGCTTCACTAATTATAAATTATCTTGCATGATTTTGCATGGTGTTTAGTAGTTTTATAGGAAACTAACTAGGGAGTGATAAATTGATTTTGAAGATCCAAAGAAAGAAGAACTATCGTTATGATAGCTAGGTTAATTACATAGTGATTATGTGTTTTTGAACTCTTAGTGAATTTGAAAAATGAAATGAAATTAACCTTTTGTTTTTGTAAAATGTCTCTAAAGATTTGTTTGTTGACATTACAGTCATATGTACCTATATAAATTTGAAGATTCTGAATGGAATATTATGATCACACGCATTATATTTCCGGTTTATTGAAGTACTTATTTTATAAACATTGTATAAGAAATCATAACTTATTGCATATGATAATTAAAACAATGGTTTTATTTTAATTCAGTCCAACCATGGGACACGATAGGTTGGTTTGTTTAATTATATTCGATTGTGAATTGTTAATTGAAATATTATAGAAAAATTTACTTTATCGGGCAATGAGGTTCTCACTTGACCTTTTTTAAAACCGTGCGTGACCAGCTAAAGCGGCAAAACAACAGAGTCTACAACAAATGTTGCATAACTTTATGCCAATGTTTAATACCTACTTTAGTTTAAACTGCATTCTTGTCTATTATTAGGCGTATTAAAATAACTTAGATTAATTGGATATTTCAGGTTATTGGCAGTTGGTTTAGCTGTTGTGCTGTCTTTCATCGAGGCACCAGTTAATTCATTTACGCTTAGTCGAGAAACTAACTTTACTCAAGATGATCTACATCCTGAGGACAGTATTGTTTTGGAAGTTAGAAATGATGTAAGAAGACCGAATGATATCGAGATAACGAAGGAAGATGGCTTTATTCCGACTTCTGAAATATACTTTAAAGATTTTAAATTTATAACATCGATTCAAGATCAAGCTGTTGAAAGTAGTGTTGATACAACACAAAACATAGAGTTCACTACACAAAATGTTGAACCGACTGAAAATAAGGAGACGACGATTACAATTACTGACGATGAACAGTCGAATCACAAAAAATACAAAAGCATTTTGCACAACTCTACAAATAAAGAACCGAAACCAACGCCATCTTGGAAGAAATATACTGAAATTAATAGAAAAGTTAATAGTGAGTTAAATGATGACAGGAAGCAAACAGAAGGTATGCTTACTGAAGAGACAGGTGTGCCTCGCCAAGATTCTAAATCTGGAGATATACCATCGCTAAATCAACTTAAAAATTTTCTTTTTCCATCGTCTTTCTTTAAATCTGACATTGTAAATGATACAATCTCAACAGTTGAAGTTACAGAACAATCATTCACTAGTAATCCTGAAACTACAGTTGAATTGACCACACCCACTAAGGCAAATATAGCTACAGTGGAATCTAAACGAGGTGGATTTTTAGACTTTTCTTTAAAATCTCTTTTTGAAGACAACAGTGATAAAAAGGAAAACTCACAAGAAAATAACACATCCAAACCTAAAGGCAGGAGGCTAAGTTGGCGTTTTGGATCACGATATCGAGGAAAAGAAGACAACTCAGCAGAGAAGAGTAAAGAAAGGTCACGTTTTAGATTTAGAAATAATAAGGATAAAAAGGCTGATAATAACGATACCAAAGAAAGTAAAGAAGAATATTCAAAAGAAATTGATTCGAGGGAGGATTCTGATAAAAAAACATTACGACCAATTGAGAAGGATACCAACAGTGAAAATTATCAAAATGAATCGGAGAATAAAAAAGAAACTAAAGTCAGTAGAGACCAAACAAATGTTAATGAAAAGGAAATTTTAGCAGAATGGAACCAATATGAAAACAATAAAGGAAACCCAGATAATGAATTTAAAAACGACAACTTGCCGTCAAAAGACAAACTAAAATTAAAAGAAGAGGTTAATCTTAAGAAAATAGAACATAGTAAATATATAACGACTACTGAAATAAATATATGGTATACAGGTTCGGGCGAAAAGACACGTTCCCGTGAAAAGGAACAACGAAAAACCAGCGAGTTTAAAATTCCAAAAGAAAGAAATGAGGCGCGAAGACCTCACTCTTCAAATAATGCGGAAGAATCACGAGATAATAATTCTAAAAATAGAGGACGAAATACATCGAAAAGTTATAATAATGAAGATGAATCTTCACAATCGAAATCACGAGTTAGAAATAACAAAGATAATATAAAAGAAATATATAATGAGCCCAGAATGGATAAAAACGAACATAGAGATATAAAAGAATACAACACATATAATTCACAAAATTTAAATGAAACGCAAAGTCACCTTAATAACATTAAGTATAATGCAATGGATTCACATATTAGTCAAAAACCGTCAAATAATGAATACATTGAAAATCAAACAAATCAATATGACACAATAAAAACGACCGAGTTAAATGAAGAATCTGGTCAGGAAATTACAAAAACGGGCAACAATTCGACATCAGAAAATATTGATATTACAAAAAATTATGATGTTAAACAAGAAAATAAAAGTTCTGACAAACAAGTGACATTAGAACATATCAAGCAATTTTTATCTACAATTGACGAAGAAGAGGAAAACGAATCTCATTCCCCTACTATAGATGAAATTAGTACAGCAAAACCTGTTGACATTCCAAATATAGCAGCGGTGAATTATTCAGAAGATTTTAAATTAAACGACATAGATACCACGACGGTAGCTTTGGACCCTTACGAACCTTTTAAAATTCCAAATTTATTAATAAGCTTACCCAGTTCAAGAAATAGAGATGGAGCTCTGCAATATAGTAAATTAAAACAAAATGAGGCTAAACAGTATATTAATACAGTAGAAACGGCTACGGAGTCTGGTTTCACCGAAAAATATTCAACTGACGTTATTAATCCCACTACTAGTGAACACAAATATGCAACGAAAAACAAGGACTATAAAAATACTGAAGCGATTATTCAGATGGTAAGTAAATGTTTAGTAAATTATATTCCGTAAAATAACCCATTAAGTAATAACTAAACTAATGCAATTTTTGTTTTAGCATGAAGATTATCGAAGAGAAGAACTGTTGAAAGAAGAAGTGATTAATAACAATGAGCAAAACTTTGGAAAATTTGATTACGAGCTAACTACTACTCAACAATCGACAATTCCTGTTAAAATATATGAAGTTAACCAAAAACCAGAAGATGAGAAGTTAAGTGTTAAGCCCTTGACTTTCTTGGACAGATTAAAAACGACAATTTTATATCCTGTTGGTGTTAACTACAGGCCACTGAAAAAAATTGAAGTGCAACCACCCAAGTCATTCATGAGAGATCCTGATGATAATAGTTGGCGAAATGAAAGCTTGAGTTCGCTAGGAATCGTTTTCAAACCAAAGAACTCTTCGAAGCCTTTCACTCAAGTATTAAAGAATAAGACGGAAACGGAATGGAATAATTTGGTGGAAAAGCAAAATACGAGTGAAATTCCTGACTTGCGAGAAAGGTTAGAGAAAATTGCTGAAATGAGAAAATCTAAGAAGAAAAAGACTGATGCTTACGGTAATGTTCTTTATAATGACTACGAAGAAAGCTTCTCGAAAGAAACAAAAGATTCCGAATTTTCTACTTCTACAACAACAACAACAACAATGATTTCAACCACAGAATTTACTACAACGAGCACAGTTGCGCCTTCAACAGAGCCAGAATCGCTAAATTATTCTAAATCCGTCACAAATTCTACAAAGGAGAAACCGAAAAAAGTATTTAATGTAGCCGAATACTACGATACGTCCGAGGAAGATGATGCAGACTACTTAACATTGGCCAAAATAGACCTCAAGAAATTTACAGTTCCTATCAGAACCGATGCTTACGTGACTCCTCCCACTTGGATAGTAACAAACACGAGACCAGAAAATCACAACAACTACGAAAGAAAACCTACTCTGCAATATTTTCCACCTTTAACGACACAGAAGGGTATGTTTAGAGATTACGACACAGATTTCCATAAAAAAATGGGAGGTTATACCGAAACCGAGCCCCCAACAAACGTTTTACCAGTTTTATACACAAGACCTTCGTCTCCTATTCCGAATGATAGGACGGGGCACTTGTTTACTCCTATGAACAAACATTCGAACGACAGAACTACCACCGAATTTATAGATTATGAAAAGCCTGGGTTCATGACGCAAGCCCCCGTTATACCTGACGCCAAAGACGGCTACACGGTTGTCACAGATGATGGCAGCTACAACAGAGCGGCAGATGTCATCAAGCACTACAGGGACTTCTTGAATGCTGTCGCCAAGGATCACGAGGAAGACATAAATGAAGACTACAATCCATACACAAAAATTCCAACACAAGGTGTCACCGTGAGTGACATAATTCACAAAATTAAACCCAAACCGGATATGACGGAATATGATTATGACAATGATTTCCGGAAAGACGTCTTGCAAAGATTTGTCCACAATTTTAATCAGAATAGCGAAAGATTTAAATCAGGCCTTCCAATGTTGTACAATAACAGCGTTATTCACGGGAGTGTTGGCGAGGGACGGGACGTGGCATCTTCCCGAGCCTACCTCAGTCGGATGTTGACACGACCATCTGGGGACTGCGACAATAACGCAACTGTGGAGCTGTCGCCGGCATATGAGCTGCATTACTACGTGCCTGAAGAAGAAGAGAAAGAACAAGTAGATCCGAAGCCGGCGACATTGCCCTACCAGTACCGGCTATAAGCTGTAACTGTATATAACATAAGTTAATTATCTGCTTCAGCAAATTTCTGCAGATATCGTGTGGTAACAGTGGAGTGTTATTGTTAGTCAAGCGGAACTATTAATACCATTTCGAAGGCGAATGTGCATGAATATTATGAAAAACGACGTGGTGCTAGCTAGGTTACTATGGTCTATTTATAAACCTATTAATTACTACTACTAATTTTTATATTATTATAAGGAAATACTTTTTTATATAACATATTTCTAACGTGAGACGTGTCACTACTTTTTGTATATAATTAGGTTCTATTAACAATGGATAGGGGTGTCTTTAAATTTATCTTAGCTACATACATTTTTATACTTAGGCTGGTACACTTTCTTCACAATTATAAATTTTCCTATGCATATGCGTGTCAGCCGCCAGTGCTTATTTGAATAGTTGAGTAACTTGATTGTAAGCGTAGTCGACATTTGTGATGCCCGAATTATTGTGATAATATACGTTGATTAGGTTATATGTGTTTTATTGGCAACTTCACAAAAATACTAAACGATCGTTACACAATTGTAACTTAACGAATAACTTTGCACGTAATACTTTTTCTATGTTGAATAATGGCTTAGTAATACATTTGAATGTAATGTTTTCATAAGCCGGATTTGCACTCGCGACCCAACTGGCATTCTGATTCCCATTGGTTGCTGGATATCATTAAAATCAAGTAGCGTATGTGTAAAATTTGCGAATTGAGTACAGAAGAATCTCCCCATCAGATTTTTACTCGGTAGAATAAATTAATATAAATATAACTAAGGTATAAGTCAGAAATTAAAAACAAGAGACTTTTAAAATACAATTTTATTGACATTTTATTTTAATAGTATGCAAACATCACTCGATCTGTCGATCGTTGCCGGTTAGACGTCACTTTGAGCATAATATAATAATACAATTGCGGGTCCTATATTCAACGAGAGCTTAATTAAAATAGTGCAAATGCAATTCTGGGTCCAATAAATAGTTATATTACAAATAAAAGTTATATAAAAAAAAGGAAAAAATTTCATACATGAACACATTTCTCTTTGGGTAAAATAAAAACGGAACACGAATCATATACAATGGCGAATCTTGTGTCCATGAAATAATAACATCCAACAACGCGGTACACATACAGCACTCGCACATATAACATCATAAAAAGTTATAAACAGTTGTGATTAAGGAACCATTCAGTTTTAGATATAAGCGGAATCTTATGAGCTAGACTGTCCGGAATTGAATACAATGGTACTAATTATGCGATACAAATAAGCTAAACATCTCTATAAAATTCAGCAGTTGTTAAAATATGTCATAAACAAAGTTATTTTAAATATTTACGACACTAAGGGTCTGTTTCACAATGTACGGATAAGTTCTACATAACTTCCAAATTAGCTATTTATTACTTATTGGTAGGATAAACACTATTGTTGCGTTTCACGACTGTCAGATAGCGCTATACGTCACATAAAGTCCGTCATAAGTTATGAGTCCGATGAAGTGTCAAATAGCATAATTTATCTACCAAATAATTTATGTTGCATAGCTATATGGTACTTTATCCATACAATGTGAAACAAACCCTTAAAAATACAGTCATGTAAGTCATTATTAGTACCATTGTACTGCGTTGCTGCCTAAATTGGACCGGCGCGGCCGACATACAACAATACAAAACGAATAACAAATGCACCACGGCGTATACACCTATGAAGCATTAAAGTATCTAAACACTTAGAAGTCTAGACTTATAAACCGGTGTATACTCTGTAGCACTACCATGATTTTGACAAGTATTAACGCATCCACGTAAAATATCTACGGAAATAACGCAATACATTGCCCACGGTAGAGCTACTACTATGAGGAATCATATAATTTTCTACGTCAATTTTAAAATCCAAGACGGAACAGTGTTGGTGATGAGCCTAAACCTATTTTATGGTAGCATAAACAGATGACTAATAAAACTTTAATGATTAAAGCAAGATTACATAGAAACTGAACCATCGGCTATCGAAATAGGTACGTATATTCATTTATATATACTATATGCTAAAAGCGATTATTTACATAGGGCTCGCCACTTCACTAGCTATATACTTGCCTTTAGGCGTCGCCTCACTTGCCATCGGTATTTCAAAAGTACTAAGTCCTATTGTCGCTATTAGGCCATATTCTAATATGTGCTAGGATTTTTTTGAATAATTACGACCCAAGGCAAGCAAGGCGCACCCCCAAACCTTACGTAACATTAGCCAGTCTTTCGTTTACACTACAACTAGACATCACGCACACGTCGCCTCACTCTGCTATATCGAAGCCTTTTTGTTGACAGGTGATACGTTATAAAGTAAAATCTATCACTTTTGGTAAATTCAAAGAAAAATATTATATTGGTGATATTAATTTGATTTACTTAATTGAAATTATCGTCATTGAGAAATAATAAAGTCTATAAGCCTAAATTGGCACCTGCTTTGGCACCGAGCTCGGAAGAGAAGCGAGAAATGCATTATGAGTCAAGCACCTATAACTTTTTAAACACCTGACAGAAACCGATAATTGTCTAAAAAAAACAAAGCGAAAACTGAGATTGAATAAATTGATGTCTTATAAATATTGGAATCTATGCATTGAACAAAACTAATAAATTATGATACTTTCGAGTGAGTACGTCAATCTCCGTATACTTACAATTTACTTACGAAAAGCTCTAGAGGAAGCTTTCCTACACTACGAATATCGTTTAAATAGTTTAAATATCTCATTTATACACATTCATACAGATCTAAATACTAACCCCCTTATTAAGAAAAATTTAATCAGTATTATAGTATTTCAAGTGAAGTATATACATCTCTTTTCAGCATAAATACAATATGAAAGAGACAATTCGTAGATCGAATAGTGAGTTAGTTTAGTGAAAACAATAATACTGATTTAATTTTATGAATAAGGAGTTATGTCCTTAAAATTTATCGCATAGTGGTGCTAATTGTGATGTATCTTGAAAATTCGTTGATTCAAATTTTTTTTGCCGTCGCTACTGTACTAAAGACTAACATCAGAATTAGTACACACACTGCTGACACGACATCGTAATCTCTATATTAATTGTTTTAGGTATAACGTGCACCTATCGTCATCATAATGACCACTTTAGAAATTTGATAAGCAAAATGGTAAAGTACACATCTTTAAGCATTTTTGAATCGGGTAGATTTTGTAATCGAAAAAGTATTATCAAAAATATGATGTTAAACCACTCAAATGAAATTTAGTAAAATCGTATTAAAAAAATTTGTTCGTAAGTTAAACCTTGACCTGTTTGACCTGTTAAATGGTCTGTGTATGTAAAGTCTAAAAGCGTGTACATAAAAAATATTCCTAAAATCAGAGGCTATATCAGGGAAGTGGTGGAGAGCACCCTAGTTCGCCTCGTGTGTAGCCAAATCCTATCCTTATTTTATTATCAACCCTAAGTCAGAAATTGAACCAGATTTCATCCCCACCACCATTGTCCCGATATCGCCACTAATTTATGGCCGTGTGTAGACACTTTAAGAAGCGTTCAAGTATTACGTAACGAATGTTTTTCCTTTTGTAAAACGTTACGATGCGGGGCGGGACGGGATACGCTTTATTGTTAATATTATTTTCGACTTTCCAGTACTTTACACCACATCATGGTAACTTTTAGGTATAAAGAGTCACTAGATGGGCACGAAACTTTTTACTTATTGGGTACAGAAAAACGTTACGGCGCATTACATGGGGGGGGGGAAATCAATAATCTCCAAAAATTGCGTGACGTAATATTTGAACGCTCCCTTAAGTGTTTATGGCTAATTTGAAGTAACATATCTATTAAATATAATCACGTTGCTATGGCGGTCTGGCCGACCCCGCTTGCTGAGTACTCACAGTTAATTCATAAAATTTTCTTTATTTAAATGTACTTGAAGAACGAACGTGTGGATTACTTAGCCATTTTGCTCATCACATTGTGGATTAATGACTTATAAAAGACGTAAAAGCGTATCAAATCACTCGGGCCTAGATTCATTCGACTAGCAGACGTGCCTTTACCGCACAATAACATCTCTAAAATGCAGTAAACATTGTGACTGTGCTAATTTATCGGATATTTGACAACGGACTAAGACTGAAAATTATAAAGCGTAAAAAGTAAAAAAACGTATTGGATTTTGACAGCGGTCACTTTGATCGACACTGTTTTGATTGATCACTGTCACTGTCAAACTTCAAATAGAACAAATGACAGGTCTTGAAACTAGATGCAAGTTTAGTGACGTTTTACAATTCAGTTCACCCTGACTTAGTTTAATCTTATTTTACAAATTGAGTGATATGGATAGAGTTAAAATTACCATCTATTGCAAGCAGGTTAGTCCAGAAGGGCTATAAATACAAATCCTGACTAAGAAAATCCCCATATTTGGTTTACGGTTTATAAATTTCAGTCTAGACGCATATTAAAAGTTCGTTGCCCTATTGCCTAATATATATCACTCCCTAGCGCTCAGTGCGCGCCTGTATACTGGGTCCCAAACATACAAAAAGCAGTCGGCGATTATTTAAGAATCCGGAAATTCAAGTTTGAATTTAGTTTCGTATAATTGTAACTCGCTAGCTGAAATTATTTAAAACTAATTCAAACATGAATTGTGTAAAGACGCGCCATTTTGTCTACAATACTTTCTATTTGACAATTAACGCACACGTCCTATGTACAAAGAATTCTTCTATGGGACAGAATATTTTCATATACTAAAATTAAGAGTCTGTTACAATAATGAAAATAAAATCCGTTAGTACTATATTAGGAGTTACGGTGCGAACATAAGTCTATTAGGCGCGTCTTATGGCTCCAAAACTCTATAGAAGTTCAAGGAACAACTACAGTAGAACTGAAGAACTTACGTTCCAGTCGTGGAAAGGGAATTAAAGAAGCAGTAGGAGGGGACAGCAGAGCAGGCGCGCGGCAAGGGGACACTAGCTGGCGACGTGCTGAGGGGCGCGATGGGGCAGAGCGGCAGGAGGTGGCGGAGGAGCAGATCCGGGGGGCAGGGGAGCTGTGCCAAAGCTGCTGCGGAAGGATTCCTCCATCAGCCGGCAGATTTTATCGCGATCCGCCTGAAATAACATAGAGATTATAGTTACAGTAAACTGGTATAAGAATAAAACACAATTAAAAACAAAACAATAAATATAAAAAGTCAATATTCAGCGCGAAGTATGATATATAGACCTTGGAGATCTTACTATGGCGCTATAACCTTTTAGGTCTAGGCTTCAGATTTTTGTATCTGTATCGTGATCATTTCTAAAAGACTGATTAGCGACTTTTTGGGTCTAAGGCATGCCGGTTTCCTCGCGATGTTTTCTTTCACTATATGAACGTGTATTAAATGCGCACATACACCGAAAGTCCATTGGTGCATAGCTGGATCGAACCTATGATGATCGAGTCGCAGGATGAAGCCACTGGGCCAACACTACTCATTCTTTGATGAATATTATATCTATAATTATATATCTGTACGATTATGCTTATATTAAATCTTTGTTATAAAATAAAAACCAATCATTATACAATCAACTGTTGTACTATGATGATTGCCAAAATAGATACCTACAATTCATTTAAATCACATCATAAGAAGAAATGTACCAAACCATACCTCATGTATGAAGCCAAGTTGCACAAGATCGTGAGCGAGCGCGTGCGCAGAATCACGACGTGAAACAGCGCACGTGAGCTGACGGTTCATCTTGTCGTCCATGCGCAATAGAATGGTCATCTGTAATATACATGTACATTAATTCTTTACTTTGTGGTCCGTTCATAATCATCATCAATTTTGTCCAAGTCGTCACATAGACCTCACCAAAACCTCAACTGGACTACTTCATTATTATTTTTTGTTATCACTGCAATATAAATCGTTAATTATTTATGATTTCTAAATATATTAAGAGAAATACACTTCACCCATCAAAATAATGTTCGACGACGCCCTCAAGACCCAAAAGTAATTTAGTCACTAGAACGTACACAACTTTATGAATAATAATATATTATCGTTTATTTGCAAAGATAGGGGGTACAATTATTAGATCAAATTATTATAAAAATCCTCACAATAAGCCATATATAGGTAAATAGGCATGCAAATGTCATGTAAAACAACATTAACAGTCATAATATGCGCAGTGACACAAGTGCACTTCTCTGGGACGGATGCCTGGTACGAACGGAGTAGCATAAGCGCAGGCGCATGACCGATTGGCTTACAGTTATGCTGCTTCCACACATACTGTAAATTTTCTCACCATTCTACCGTTAAAGCTCTACACTTACCAGCAAGTCAGCAACATCAGCGTCAGGATGGTGCGGCTGCGGCTTAAGGGAGCACATCATGTTGACGACTCGTCGTGTTTCACGGTCTCGAGCGCGTGGCTCTGGCGGTGTAGGAGCGCTCTCTGTCGCCGTTCGAGACCTTCCGCCACCAGCTGCACGACGCCCACCGGACCACCAGCCGTAAGCAGTTAACGGATAAATGCCGTACCTATAAATTATTATATTTCTTTATAATAAACAGTACCTGTAAATATTATAATAATGCCTGAAATTTAAGCAGGGATTACATATACAAGGAATACATTATTAAAAAAAAAGGGTGCGTGTACTTATGTACGCGCGTAGTTTTTGATCGCATGCAAATAATTAATTACAATTAAATAATCAAAGACTGGAAAAGGAGTCATTATAGTCAGTAAAGTTCAGTTTACTTTTGAAAAATTAAATAAATAAATATTTATTATTATTCTCTTACATTAAGTGTAACATAAATTCTATTATTATTCGAATGTTGAAATTATGTCCAATGCCGTAGCATCTTCCGTGGGCAGCTTCATTCTGTTAATTTTGTGTCACTCTTATAAATTTTTCATAACGCACCTTAACCTTACAAAATATTTTAACGTTTATTATCAAGTACACAAGAGTGACAAGGACAAAAAATGTCGACCTAACCATCATTTTCCTTCTTAGTTTGTAGGAAGAAACGGTCATGCAAAATAGGCACTTAATAATTTAGCGTAACGATGTAACACGATAATAGTATGGTACATATCTCAAACTCTTAAATTTTTTTCAAACTCATTAAGTATAAAAAAAACCTTTACTTCTGATGTATTATTTAGAATACTTAAATACAATACTAGAATTAGTCATCGATAAAATCCGTCAGCTAAACAATATAAAATTCAAAAAAGAACTTTATCACAAACTCCTAAATAGAATAGATTTTGGTCCTTCGATCCGAATAAACTCACTTGACATCCTCAACGAACTTCTCAAGTTTCTCGGCATGTGGTTGTAAATCCCGAGCGTCCAACTCTCTTCGCTCCCCGTCTCTCACACACCAGGCCAGGGCTCCACCGCTGCCACAAACCTCGTCCGTTATCGTCTCTGATATGTTGGCTGGAACCAAAAACAAGTCAATTTATTGTTGTTTCTAAGAAAGGTTAAGTTAAATTTTATTTGATGACAAAATGTAGTAAACTTTTACTTATAATAGTACTAACTACTTCACAATAGATTGTGTTGAATGCTACCAATATATTATAATTTTATACATATCCTGTTGAATACAGTTTCAAGAAGTATGTCGTATAAAGAATGATTCAATATTTTTCACACTGTGTCACTGTCACTTTGGGTGGCGCCCTTGATGGTTTAGATTTTAGATTCACAAACAGCCCGACAGATGGCGCTACAGTCGGTATCTAGGTTATTTATCAATACAGCAAATTAACAGCTTATGTGCATGTGTTTGTTATTAAACTAAAACGGCTGGACAGATTTTGATGAATTTTTTGTGGGTTCAACTGGAGTCGAGAATAAGTTACACTATTAGATATTTTTTGTATATAATACATGTGTAGAGGACAACGTCTGTCGGATCCGATAGTACTGTATAAAATGTATATGTACAATTGGTTATCGTCCTAATTATCTAAGATTTCATAGGAGAAATGATGCTCTTCACTAACCACTCGTATTGACCAATGTATGCGCTGCCAGAAGCTTAAGCGAGTGCACTTCGAACAACAGCGGGTGGAACAGCAGCTCACGGGCCGTAGGTCGCTTTGCGGGATCCTTCTGGATACATCTGAAATGTGACATCATTACAATTAATGATGCTAAAGCATGAAGTTGCAGAGTAATCAACACGTATTACGTGAATTGGTACCAGAATATATGGTACTGACAAACGGAAAAGTGTTTTTTCTTCATTTGGAAATATTCCTTTGCAGCATTGCATTATATACTATAATTTAATGTAAGATAAAAATTACAATAAAAACGGTAAGTACAGTAAATAATGTCAGTAACAATATTGTATGTTAAGATATAATATCAGTTTAAAAGCTAAAAAAAATAATCTCAAAATATTGTACAAGGTAGACTGAAATTGACATAAAATGTGAAAAATACTTTAACATTTAATTTCAATTTCAGTCTACCTTTAGTCACAAATTATAAATTAACATTATGTAAGTCTTAGTGAATTATTATTATATTAATTCGTTTTTTTTACATAATATTAACTTATGCCAGCGCGCTACACCCAAGGGTCGCATATTATTAGTATTGAGGTCTTCATATGGTCCAACGATAACAGAATGGCTTTTTTAGCATAACTTATTAATCAGACAATATCAATTTTGGAAATAAGTTTTTAATTGTAGCTACCCAATAAATTTTGTCTTTTTTTCTGAACGACCCTAACACGATAAGTGACGCAAACTGCGTACACGTATATGCGTTTTTTGTCACCTTGAATAATCCACACCGTACCTGTAAATGAAGTCTTTCTGACGTGTCTCTTCTAATGATTCAACAGTTCGAGCGACGTGTTCTTCTGTGACGTGGCTGCCGGAGTCTCCATTGCCTTGGATCTCCAAAGCCGCTGTCTCCAGCGCACACATACCAAAAGAATAGATGTCCATAGCCGGTGTTACCATTTGAGATGCTACAAATAGAGTATTCCATTCATAAAGTGTGCGTTATATATGACATAAATTATAAATTTATTGCCCTTTTGAGTTGGGTTAACGCGCTAATATTACTAATTTTAGACGGTAATTGTTAATGTATGTCTAATAAGTAATACTATGTTCAATTAATCTTCTACAATACTAGTGAATAGATTAAACCAAGGTAATGTTCAGTAACAGTCTTAGTGTTCTATAATGTTTGGACATTATGTTCGTGTTTCCGAAGTTGCATAAGTCGTGTAAAATGAATTGTAGTTTTTTTTATTGTACATGAGTCTAGGCATACTTACATCCATATTCGGGCGCGACAAGGTGCATATTACGCATGTTGTCGCGGCATGTCTTAACGTGATGGTGTATGGCATCAGGCGCCACTGATCCAATCTTCACCAACCCATTGTGTTGGATGAAGATTGTATCACATGTCAGGTTTCCGTGCACTATCGCAGGCTCGCATCCATGCAGGTAACTGCAATAGTTTATATAAGGTTAATTATTATTAAAACAGCGATAGTTAAAAGCTAAATAGAAAATTAACATGATAATGCACAATATTGCTTGTCGAGCCATTGGTCTGGTGTTTTATCAGTTGATTCCAAAAGCTTAGATCAAATAAAATAAAAAATAAAAAAATTCTTGGGTTAGACTCAAACTCAAAATATCTTTATTCATATAGGACACAAAGGACACTTATGAACGTCAAAAAAAAGTTAAATTAATTGTAAATATACATTTACGACCAGTTCGCAAGTCAAGGGCGTAGAGCGGGCAAGAATCATTCCGCCACTCTTTTTAATGGCAAAGTTTTAACAGTAAAACAAAGGAAGAAACGATGGCGCGTTCCATTTAATGCTGATTGGTCCAGAGCATTTCTAGACCAACACACATTTCCACATAATACGCCATTCAGTCTGGTGATTCATTCACACTAGGTTTATTGTTAATTGTATTAAATGTATGTACCTGAGTGCGGAAAGAATTTGTGTGCACCATCGTTTCCAGGCCTGCAGCGGGAGTCTTTTCACATTTCGTTTAGTACGTTTGAGAAACTGCTTCAGAGAACCACAAGACATATACTCCGTTATGAATATCACCTGAAAACATCACCATCACCATTTATTATCTATGTTAACGTATATTCTTTCAGTATAACTAGAAAATTTTGTTTCTTTCAGTATAACTTTTAAATGTGGTGCTATTCCGGCCATACAGATTCCCATCGGAAGAGCTTTATCATCTCAGCCAATTACTTTCCGTTAGGAAGCTCTATGTCCTAAGTCTAATTTTGAAAGCACACAGAGCGCTCCCGTTTGATAGTAGGCTGTTCCTAAAAAGAAAAAGGGATGTTGTCGGACAGACCGTAAGGACTGACTTCGCCAGACGCATTATGCAAGCAGACTATATGTATAATAAATTAAATAGGCTGCTTAATATCTACCCGCTCACCGTCTACAATCTAAAAATACGACTAAAGGACAGCCAGTCCTTATGAACACACCTTACGCAGTGTTAGAGATACTTCTGATAACTAATACGTGGTAACACACTTGATTCATTCACTCACTGACTCACTCAACACATTTGCACCACACACTTATTCATTCAATCAGGTGTGTTGAAAAATCAAAAACAAAAATAAATAAAATAAAAGATGTAATTAAATTATATATAAACATATTTTAAGGAATTTATAATTAAGTTTGTTATGGAAGAGCTGGGAACCCTGACACAGGTATTTTTTTACTTAAAGGGGTTCCCAAACCTTACACATTGTACATGCATATGTACTTATAATGAATAAACATTTTTTTTCTTCTTTTTTTTAATAACAATGGAGGAATTGTTAATCAATGTTTTTTGTCAAATTTTATTACACTTCACACAGTATAGCCTGTCAAACCGTTATGGCCACGGACAGAAATTCAAAATGTTTGCTTACCCTCGGTTTATCATTGTGTGTGTCTGTCCAGTAGCGGTGGAACTTGACGATGTTGGGATGTTCTAGCCGCGTGAGATTGTCAAAGACGGCTTGTATCTTGTCTTCCTGCGCCTTGAAATTTTTGCGCTCAGAGAATTGCACCTCATTCCACACCACTTCCACACCCTCCTCCGTGTCCATAGCTAGGTGGGCGCAGTCGATGCCAGGCACATCACGCTGTTCCACCTGGAAAGTTAATATACTTTATAAATATATAAAAATAATAAAGTAAAATATAATATTGTTCAACATATACTACTAATTTTTGACAATTACACTATTAAAGACTTGCAACTTGTCACCAAAATGGTTCTAAAGGTACTTGGTATAAGGAATGGCAACAGCAAATCATTGACACAAGCAATCATTCAATTGGCCATGTGCTCCGTGCGCTTTCAATTACATCTCCCTCGGCTCATTATCCGTACATCAAAAAGATTATTCTGGACTAAACCACTCTAGACTCGGCTTAAAACCTAGATTCTTACTACATTCATAAACCTCAGTATTTAATTATTAAATAGCTATTGAATTATCTTGTAACTTTGCTAATGAAATGCGCACCATGAATGACGTATTCATGTCTTTTAAAGCGATTTTATTTAAAAAAACTTATGTTCTTATGTATATATATGCTAATATGTTTTCTGACATTTATTTGGTTTCAAAGCAATCCAAGAGTGTCACATTAAACAGCCATTGGAAGTGGATCTACGTTTATGAAAGATGGTATTAAGTATTAACTATTCCATAAAGCTATCTAAACCATAAATTATAATGTATCACAAGCTAAATTTTTATGTATATTTAATGCGTTGTACACTTAATTTAGATTTTATCAGACCAATTACTTAGATCTCCACCTGTCATCACGAGACAGCCAATTTTAACGTAGTACATCAAACTTAGCGCTAATTTATGATTCAGTAAGTCATCGAATAATAGGGTATGATAAAACAATAGACCAGACACTGTTTTCAATAAGTGTATGCTAGAGTCTGGCTAATGAAAGAAGATAATTGAATTATTTGAAAACTTTCGGATGGCAATACAGAATGTCATTGAATTTCTTACGTTAGTATGATTTATTGTCTTGATACTTCATACAATTACTCATTTTTATTTCTATTATATATTTTTTCTGCATAGTTAACAGGTTTAATAGCCTAAACTTTGTTTTATTTGATGGAATATTTCGTTTCTTTAGCAGGATTTTAATTTTCCGAATAAAGTTGTGTTTTATAATAAATATAGTTTTAGTTTTCTATGCAATGCTAGTCATTTTAAGTATCAATTTACTATTGATAAATAATACTACTACGTATAGTATTTAATTTCATAGAAATACAGTTACTACTATAGTAATACTAAATACGTATAGTATTTAATTTCATAGAAATACAGTTACTATCGTTAAAAGAGTAATAAAATAAAATCAAGTATCAAGTAAGTTTAATCCACAAAATATATCAAACTTTTAGGGATACCATACTATTTTTTTTTAATTTGCCGCGCTTTTTCGTTATCTTCTTTCATTAGCCAGACTCTATAATATGTTACTATTAATGTTTGCGTAAAATTATCTAAACTATGTAGTTTGTGTTGCATTCCGTACCTGAGTCCAAAATTTACAAGGATCTTATCAACTATCAAAACCAGCTATCGTGTAATGAGAATATAATGTCTTCACAATTTCCTAATGCTTATGAGAAGCGTTAACGGCTGACAAGTGACACGTGAACTTGGGTGTATATATGTATACGTATAATATTATAAACTCTCTGACAAGAAGTTGTAAGCTTCAGCTCAATAAAGCTTTTAATTACTACCTCAATACTTACTATTGACACACCTTAAGAATACCTCGGCCTAAAGCTAACTTGGATTTACGTGGTACGAAAACTCAATGTTGTTATCGGTTTTGTAAAGGTTTTGTGGTAAGCTCATTTAAAATCAATAAATTTGAAATGTGAACAAGTAAACTGTTTATGTATATTAATTCTATAATTAATAATATAGGTATGTTGAACATTAATGCCTTGTTCATTACGAATGCAGCAATTAAATTGATTGAGTACTTAACTTTCGATAGATTTATTGAAGAGAAAAGGTAGTTGTATGATCACGAGTCTGGTCATTCATTACCGCTTTCTACTTTCAAGTTTGTCTATATAGCGATAAATCATTTAAAAGTTCACGTAACGTAAAGTTTAAACTCGGTATAATTCAAAATTAAAGTATTTTCATTTTCTTCCATTCAATTTGGATTCTATGTAATTAGACAACGAAAGATTCTCTACTTGCTGAATGACAGAATCTTTAGCCACATGGTAAATGTTACAGATGGAATTACATAAAATGTGCCAAGTCCAGCTGTTAAGCAAGTCTCGACTGTTTCTGCGCGTCAGAAAGAATTTTGGCCACCCAGCGCGCTGACACTTTTTTCAAACCTTTATTTTGTCTGCTATAAAACATACTGTAGTATTCTGCCAAGACAATGTCTTCAACTTTTTTTAATACTTTGTTTTGTCACTATAAATGTCCTGCCTTAGGATCGTCGTTAATGGAAGAACTTCCTATTTTTTTTTATAAAACAGGGGACAAACCGGAGGAGGCTCATCTGATATTAAGTGATCCCTGGGACACTCTCAATACCAGAGGGCTCGCGAGTTCGTAGCCGGCCTTTTAAGAATGGGTACACTCTTTGCAGGTATTAATCCGAACAACTCCTCTGAACACTCTCCATGGTAAATGAGGTAGAAGATCCAGAGTGACCCTACATCTCTACACAACACCAAGGGATTAAGCCGCTGTCCCAATTGGTTGTCGACGATTCGAACCGCTCTTCATTGAAAACGGTCGGTCAAGTGGAAGAAACTGGTACTGGGGAGCTCCCGCCCAGAGGCGAGAACTCCTAGCTTGAACTTAGCACCAAGGTTTAGTGAATGTATCGCATTATAGCTTTTTATTGAACACCCTCGTACGTAGGTTATTTCTTATCATTTTACACGCGCTTAAAAACAACGTATTCTTTTAATTATCAGAGTTATAGTTCGATTACAATACAAAAAAGTTATACAATTCTATTATAGTTATCAGTACACGTGGTAAGTTCGTTAACTTGCTCACGCGACACACGTGCACCTACCACCATAAAACTGACTTACTTTATTCGATCGCAGTCCAATTAACACATACATTCTAGTGTTCTTGAAACTAGAGCTTCTATTCAAGTTCTTTAACTGTCGTAGGAATATGCGTTAGTTATTGCTAAAAGGAGAATGATCGTCATAGTTACAGAAGCCTACCAGAAACTGCAGATATTAGGCCAAATTCCGCATTTATATCTGCAAGTAGCGGTGTGGTATTGAACTATTGTACAACATTCGCATTAATGATAACACTATCGGCGCACGCGCAGGGTTCGTTAGCATTATGATTGCAGCGCAATGCAACATGACGTGCTTAACTCGTCACGTGAATTACACAGCTTTTGCGCATTATTTTGTTTGTATTTCGGTGGCGGAAGCGTCCAGTGATGGATGGCCTTGTGACGACGTTAGCACAACTAGAGTTACGGATGTTATTAAATAGATTTGAAAATATCAAGTCCGAATTATGTATTTATTAACACAGATGTGTTGTCTACAAAAAAAAATGAAAATCCCAAAGAATTAGGATAATTTAAATAAGTCTTTTTTTTTTGAATTATTTTAGGATTTGGAGGCTGTTTGTAGTAGTCGAGTTGTTGAGGTAGTAGTCGCCTCAGTATAGTTTTTAGCCCAATAATGTATAATGGCATGGAATTAAACACAAACTATAAGCACAGCTGATCCCAGTCGGAAAAGCGACCACTACCTTCCATTACATATGAAAAACGAAGAACAGGAAATTGACGTAAAAAGGCGCTCCGCGTCACAACAATTAAAATTATGCCAACGTATAATCCCTATAGTCAAAAATAAGACAATTAAGTCTGAACAATGCATTGAGAAAAATCAGAGAAAAGAAAAAATATGAAGGAGGCTTTTACCCTATAGAGGCCATACAATACTAGACCACTAAAAAAATAACTTATTTTTTTATAACTTATTCTAACACAACTAATACTCATATTAAGAAATTTTAACTAATTTTTGTACGGATTCATTAATAAAGCTCTAATAATAATAATTAGCACATAATAAGTGTGCAATTTTCGTGGTGTAAATAGTTAAAATGATGGAACACAATATTCTTTAATAGAATTAATTATTACATTAATTAAGTTATTTTATACACACACAGATATATGTTTCATATTTACAGTGAATTTAAGATTCGCACTTCTTGCGATTTATTAACTAAAGTCTTTTTAATATTTTTCTTTACAGGGTTGCCTGGAAGTGTTCTTGCTCGTTGTTCATATTATACAATTGAGGCAAGAGAGAAAAAAGTATTATTCAATAAAAAATAAGAATTACTATATAGTATGTACAATTTCTAATAGTTAAGGAATACTTACAAAATTGTCTTCATTACAATAAAATTACAACCTTAAAATATATTTATAGGCTAAATCTGCAAATTGCAGTTTAGTCCATTGAAATGTTACAATTTGAGGGCCAAACTTAACATTTGTTAGAGGACGCAATTTTATTTATGGGACCTGTAGGGGGGGTCAATACAAGCTTAACCTCAAGTTTGTGGGGTTGGCGTGCTTGTCCCCCGGCCGCCATCTTGGAAAAAGGGGTCCAAAAACCACGTTTTTGGCTATATCTCCTAAACTATCCATCGTACATAAAACTTGTAAAGACACATTTTGTAGCAAATTGCTGTGCCTACAAATATGTCTATGTAACTTTTTATCATAAATCCAAAATTCAAAAAGTTATAAGTAAAAAAGTGAAAATATTTCCTATTTCTAAAGTTGACTAGGTGCGTCAATGCTCATGACAAGCCGATCAAAACAGCAGTTTTAAATTTCTTTTAAGACTCTCGTTTATTTTAAACAAATTTTCTAAATAATTTTTTTTATTCCTACAATTTTACTTATTGGTATTCCTAGTAGGCCTATTCCACAGACAACTTGCTGATATGGTAATCTTCGACATAATTATATTATCAATCAGTTATTAGAATGGTAGCTCTAGCTATCACTTTTTTATTTATAACGTTTTGAATTTTGGATTTATGATAAAAAGTTACATAGACATAATCGTAGACACAGCGATTTGCTACAAAATGTGTCTTTACAAGTTTTATGTACGATGGATAGTTCAGGAGATATAGCCAAAAACATGGTTTTTGGACCCTTTATCCAAGATGGCGGCCGGGGGACAAGCACGCCAACCGCACAAACTTGGAGTTAAGCTTGTATTGACCCTCCCTAGATGTTCCATAAATAAAATTGCGTCCTCTAAAAAACGCAACCCCAAATGTAACTTTTCAATGGACTAGTAATACCCTTAAAATACCCGACAGAACGTGAAACCACATTTCCCACAAGAATTGTCACAATACAAATACATATAGGATGTCAAACTCGACATATCAAACATTTTGGCATTATTTATTAACTGACTTTTCTGTTTTTAATGATTCTGATTTATTGGAGGTGCGTGGCCACATATTTTAAACCACAAATATATACGTAACGTCACTGGTTTCTGATGACTTTTAGCTGACGTAGGAGCCAGGAATAGATTATTCCCGACTGTGCGAGCACCCGGCACCGGTACCTTCCCGCCCCGATCAATCTTGATCAAGGTCAATGTCGAGACCTCGAGCTATGTTATTTCGCACTCGATTGACTTCCTCGGGATTGCCTAGACATGTTCAATGTAACTATTCTTTTGAAAAATTATAAAACTGCTTTCAGATTTTGTTCAAACATAAATACGTAATTGTTATAACTTACTATATTATCTGTATCTCTTTAAATAACACCTCTACAAATCTTTTAAGCATCTAGGAATCTCTAGTAAGTTAAATATGTATTAGTTTATTTGTGCCTAGAATTTTGTCACATTGCCAGCGACTAAAAGGCGCCAGTCAGCTGAAAGGTATGTTTAACTAAGAATAGAAAATATTTCATAGGTTTGCGGTTTTCTGCAATTCGGAGTGCATTGGGTAATTAGATAGGGTCCAGTACAATTACCCTTTATCGCGTACGAAGTCGTCGACCCGGCTGGACCGCGGCGCCCGCGCACTATTCGCAACAATGCTCTGGCAGATTTCCAAGCTAAGCAGAAGGTATCTAACACCTAGTCGCGTTAATCTATTTTCATTTAACTATAGCCATTTTAAGCCTATCTTTGATGTTTCAGATGCAACGGAAATGACAAGTATAAAAGCTATTCAATCGACAGCGGCGTTTGCGTCGACAACAAAATTACATACATTTATATGTGCATTTGGTTTCTATATTTAGAAACAAGTCAAGTGTATGGTAGCCAGTTATTGTGTAATACTAAATCAATACACAATGTAATAAGATTCAAGATGTTGAATTTAATTAGACATAACACATCATTAATGCTTTGAAACCAGAAAAAAGGCAGTGCTTAAAAGCAAACAGTCTGCAATAAGTTATTCTTGGCAGAGCAACTTAAAGCCAACTGGCTATTAATAGAGCGGAGCTTACGAACATCCGACACTGCTAAGAGGATCATTTACAATTACCATTTATAAGGGACTATCTTACATAACCATTTAAAGAAAAATCACACCAATGAAAACGGTAATTGGAATGTAAAAAAAAATAAAAAAAACCTGGTATATTTGACCACATTTCTCAGAAACTCAATATGTCATATCGATTCTTGTCAGGTATATTCTGCGAAAAGTCTAATATTCATCAATATCGGTTTAGTTTTTGAGATAATAGGTATCTACGCATTTTTGGAGCGGACATGTGACATGACGTATTGAGTTACTGAGACATGTGGACAAACATACCAGGTTTTTTTTTTTTTTTTTTTTGTGGACAAACATACATACAATTAGGAAATTTAGCACTTAAAAGCATAAATCATCATAGGAACATAATATTATCCTGTTCCAACAATATCACACCCATACAGGTAAAACTAATAACCTCCTTTTAGTCGGGTAAAATCGGAATAAAATTTTCCCTTTAAAAGTTACATGGTGTCAATTTTATTGCTTTATTTCGAATATTAATTAATCGTGCGTTGTTTAGAACTGTGTTAACAAATTAATGGCATGAATCTCAAATATTTGTGAAGTTTTTCCAAATAATGAAATATACGTGACATATTAATCAAGTGACTGTGTGGAAATTAATTAAAACAAAACATTTACGTTTAGTAAATGAATGACGCAATCCATACAGCTATGACATAATGTATGATAAGCAAATTTACCACAATTTTCCAGATCTTTATAAATAGTTATTTACATAAAGCCAGTATCGGTGTTCAACTGATTCCGTTTTATTAACAGATAAAACATACAGTTTAAACAAACTACAAAAACACAAAAGATTGTCTGCGCACTACCACTACTATACGATGAACAAATAACCAGCCTTCGAACGGCTGAATATTTATTTTAGTACAATAGTTTCTGCAGCATAGAGATTTTATTGGAATTTTTCCTTAGGGTACATTTTCATAGTTTTCATACGGTACAATGTTTCTAAAGATATTCCATAGCCTATGTTCAACAGGGATAATGTTGGATTCTAATGGTGAAAAAATCTTTCCACTTTATAATATTATTGTAGATGATAGATGAGTAAAATATACATTTATTCATATAATAACTAGCTATATCTTGTCTTATTTAACTCAAATTATTACCGATACATTACATTGTACTTGGCTTTTATAAAGCAAGTCTAGAAAATAGTTTCTATTAAACATATTAACACTTAGGTGGTTTCATCATTAGATTTAACGTCATAGGTTTAAGATAAACCAATCCAATTACACAGATTTTGTTTAGTATTTTAATTTACAGATGTTACATGGTATTTACCGAGACAGTATCATTAAATCGTTATTTTAAAATATTTACCTGCTATGCTTAGCGTTTGTTATTTTAATATTATGACTAAGTGTTTCAATAATTAAAGAATGGTTTCAAATGTTGCAGTTTCTTGCCAGTTCTTATCGCCTTCTTTACGTCCTTGATTTGGAAAATAGTATATAATAGACCTTCCAATTTTCTAATACTTTAATAAGCCTACATAATA